CTTTCCTCTCCTTTTCAGTATGGGGTCCTTGCTGAAAAGGAGAGGAAAGTGCTCGTCTCCTTTCACCTCATCGGCGAAAAAGAAAAATGGGTCATATAGGCGTTCCATGTAACAATACAGATTCTACTCTGGTAAAAGCTCTAACCGTCGCTTATCCAGGGCGAGTTTAAATGCAGTCATGCTTCCTAAATCTACTAATTCCTTTGGCAACCGGTTCCAACTGTTCACTATTCTGTTGCTGAAAAAGCTGGATCTAACTTATGTAGTTTATGTAACTTATGTAGTTTGTACCCATTCCCCCAGTTCCTTGGTGGTTAGCCTCCTGGAGCATGCTCTCTTTCCTTACTCTGGGGAGCCTTTTTACAATCTTAAAGGTCTCCAGTAAGTCTCCCATTAGTCTCCTCCTTTCTACCGAGAAGAGTCACAAGTCTTTCAGCCCGTCTTGATATGACTTACCCTTTTGGCCTTCAATCGTTCGGGTGGCTAATCTTTGGACTTTATCCCAACAGACTGCATCCTTAATGAAGAAGGATGCCCAAGCCTGAACGCAGTACTCCAAGTGCAACCTAACTATGATTCTCCCAACGGAAATCTGCCGCCACCGATATTCCTAAGTCTCTGCTGGTTCTTACAATTCCTGCAGTGAAATCCCCTCCACCTAAATGGATTGACAACTATTCATCAGCACGGGAAAGTAAATTGCTTTTCTCTGCATTTAGCGGGAGGTCCGATACTGTGGCCCATTCCGGTGCTCTACGCAGGTCATCCTGCAATTGCTGCACACTGGCTGATCCCACGATCTTGACATCATCTGCAAAATGAACCATGCGAACGTAGGATCGCAGCCAAAACGTCTATAAAAATGAGAAACAGTAGGGGGTCCAGCAGTGAGCACTGTGGTACTCCACTAGTGTATATGGCTTTGGCTAATACTTTGTCTCCAATCTTCACGTAAAACGCCAGGAATTCCCTGATCTAGTTATGTACCTGCTCACTATCTCCTTGTCAGGTCAGGTCAGGTTGCACAGGACTGAATATGGCCACAGCCAATCGAGCGTCCAGAATTCCTTCGATGGTATGCTCACAAATGGACACTCAGCACTGCTGAAATGAAAATGAGAAATAGGATCTCATCTCACCAAGTTGGCGAGTAGGCACTCAGCTCCGCTGAAATAAGAATGAGAAATAAGATCTCATCTCACCAAGTTGGCGAGTGAATTATTAGACGCGAGCATTCCATGACGTGTATCAGTAAAAAAGGCGAAAGGTATCCTAAACACTTGGCACACCTACACTCGTCTACACTGCCAGAGGTGGGAATAGTTCCACCCATCGCTTATCGAGTGCAGTCTTAAATACTCGCACAGTTTGGAGGTCGATGATTTCCTTAGGAAGCCTGTTCCAGCTGTCGACTATCCTATTGCTGAAAAAGTGCTTCCTCATATTCAGTCTACACCTCTGCTTCATGAGCTTGAGCTCATGACCCCTAGTGCCGTGTTGTGGAGCTTATGTGAAGATAGTGTCCGCTCCTATCCCCGATATTCCCTTCATGATTTTGAAAGTTTCTACCAGGTTTCCTCGCAGTCTCCTTCTTTCTAATGAGAAAAGCCCTAGTGCCTCAAGTCTTCCCTCATATATTTTTCCCTCTGGCCTTCAACCATTCTGGTGGCCAATATCTGAAATTTCTATAAACATGCAGCATCCTTCTTGAATAAGGGTGCCCAAGCCTGTACACAATACTCTAGGTGTGGTCTCATTATGGCCTTGTAAACGGGAATGAAAACTTCCGATCTTCCGCATGTTAGAACCGACCGTAGTCTACAGAATTCCCCCTAGCCCTGCGCGCAGCTACTGAACATTAGTCAGACCACTTAAAATTGTTAGATATCATGACCCCCAAGTCCTTAACCCTAGTAGCGGGTTCGATAGCGAATTGGTGCTCTTCTGAGTGAACTACCATTCTATGAAGTGCCCCCTTGAGCACATGACTCTTGGTAGCGTTAAGAATAAGGTGCAGTTCTTTTGCACATCCAGCTACCTGCTCTAAATCTCACTCCAGATCACTTCTTCCATTAGAACCAACCACTTTGACGTCATCTGCAAAAACGTAGCACGATGATGTCAGGGTGCTTGGCAAGTCGTTTATGTAGAGAAGAGATAGAAGCGGTCCTATTACCGAGCTTTGTGGGACTTCGCTAGTCAGCTGAACTGGTGTGGACTTTTTCTCACCAAACGTCACATAGAATGATCGTTGTGAGAGAAATGCCCTTGGATTTCGAATCGTTGCAGTTTGGTCAACACCAAGCGATGATTCACTGAATCAAAAGCCATGCTGAAATCCAGGTAGCAAACCTCTACGATTTCACCCTTATCTATTTTTCCAGTAACATCCTCCAAAAAGCACAAAAGGTTTGTTAGGCATGAACGCTGCTTAAAAACAAACGATCCTGTGCCTCCGTCATGAGTTTGTTACGCTCCAGATGCTTCACCAGGTGCGTTTTAACTATCATTTCTAGTGCCTTACACAGTACGCTAGTTAAACTAACAGGTTGATAGTTCATAACATCTGTCTTCTTCTTCTTCTCCCTTGTGTATAGCTATGCATCCTTAATCTGCGTACGGGTGGCTGTGTACGGATATCGACCCCAAAGAGGAGGTGATCACTCTTTCCTATCGGTAGATATCCCCTGACACTGATTACATCCTGCTACATTTTGAAGATGACGAGATCCAGTAGCGACGGTTCTTGCTGAGCTCTGAACCTCGTGCAGAAGGCAACATGCTGGATGAGTGCCTTTGTGTTTATCCACTCTAAATAACTTTCCGCCTGACTACCTTCCGTGCATCTACCCGCCATCCAATCTATATCGGGTAAGTTAAAGCCACCGATTATGTACAGCTTTGCTAATCCTTGAACTGATAGATCGAGTGCATCATCAATGGCCGGTCTTCTGTGGCCTCAGCCCCGGGACATCGGTAGACACACACCATCGTAATTTTGCTATCCGGTAACAGCGGAGTTACAGCACATAGTTGGACACTTTGCAGGTTCACCGAAACTTCGTAACCCATGTGT